CGACCCTCCCCTAGCCGCTAATCTCGGACCTCTGGGACTCCTCCCCTGCCCCCAAGCCGCCCCCTCCGCTCCTCTCCCCTAACCTTCTCTCCGCACTAAACCCTTTCGCGACCCCTCTTCTCAACCCTTCTTTTTCTGTCTCCTCCCTGGGCCGCTCTCCCCCAGCGCCCCCCCCAACCCACCCCGCACACATTCCTCAGCCCCCTCACAGGCCCTTCCAGGCCCCCTTCAGCTCTTCCTCTGAGACCTTCACCAAAGTCAGGTCCTCCAAAGGGACTCCACTCCAAGGTTCGGCCCCCACTTGCCCTTTCTGCCACCCTTAGCGCCCCAGCTCTGTGGAGCCCTCCCCTCAGGTGCCTACACCCCAGGCCCGCGTTCCTCTGATCCCTATATCCCCACAGCCCTTCACGGAGTTGGCAAGTCCCCCCATTCATACCCCTCTCTCCCATTCACAGTCATTCCCCCCCCCCATCACACACGCATCCCGCCCCCGGGCTCCCCTCCCCTCCTCTTTTTCCGCTGCGTGTCACTGTGCGACTGTGCGTGTGTCCGTGTGGCTGTGTCGGTGTGCGTGCGTGTGTGTGGCTGCCTGCAGCCGTGTGTGTGTGTGTGTGTGTGTGTGTGTGTGTGTGTGTGCATGCGCGTATGTTTGAGAGACACTGATGGAGAGATGGTGGGCTCTCAGCCCACCCCCCAACTGTGTCCATCTGTGTGTCCCTGTTTGACGGCGTCTGTCTCTGTGTGTGACTTGGAGCCATAGCGAGGCTGTCTGGGGACTCGTGTGTTTGTGTGTGCATGTGTGTGTGTGTGTGTGTGTGAGAGAGAGAGAGAGAGAGAGAGAGAGAGAGAGAGAGAGAGAGAGATGAAGTGGGTCTGTCCCAGGGACTGCGGCTGTGTTTCCCAGCACCCACCCTCCTTTGCCAGGCCTGTCCTCCCCACTACAAACCCCTTCACCAGTCTCTCTGTGTGTCTCTGTCCCCATGCGCCCCTCTCCCTGCCCCCAGGGGGTCTGTGCCTGAGTGGGGCACGTGTGCTGAGACACGGCTGAGCTTCTGCACGGGGAGCTGCATCTGCTTGTGTGTGCCACTTCTCAGCATGGGAGGGGGCTGGCCTCCCTTCGTGGGGGCCTCTGTGCAGGCTGTGGAGAGGACCGTGGAGATGGGTACATGGGGAGGGGCTGAGTACCGGAGGGGGCGCCTTGTACAGCCGCTGGCTCTGGACTGTGGGCTCCTGTGTGTGTGAGAGGGACCTTTGAGGTGGGGGTGGGGGGAGTGGACGCTGCTGCAGTCTCTGTGTGTGGGATCCGGCGAACAAGAGCTGGCTGCTGAGCTCCAGAGGCTGCTCAGGGTCGTGAGGGATGGCCTGGGGGAGAGCATTGTGTGTGCTCCCGCAGGGCAGGTAGTCAGCAATACGGAGCATGAATGGGGTGCTGCGTGGGTAGCGAACACTGGGGCAGGGGGCGGGGTTAGAAGGTCTGGGTAGGAGGGTGGCGGGCCGATAATGGAACCTGGGAGAGTCAGGGGGGAGGAGTGGGGAATACCGGAGCATGGAGTGTGTGTGGAGTGTGCGGAGACGGGGTGAGGAGGGAATGCAGGAAATGTGAAGAGGCTTTGGGGGTGGGGATTTAGGCAGTTTAGAGAGAGGATGCAGAGAATGTAAATGAAATGCAGCTGCAAGTAAAAGGAGGCGGAAGGAAGGGTGTGTGATGAAGTGAACTGAGGATGCAAAAGTAGGAGGAGGTTTCCACGGATGAGAAGGAGTATGAAAGAAACCTAGTTGCTGAAGGGGACCTCATGGAGTTCTGTACGGAGGTGCAAGAGGGTGTGGGAGGGATGAGGGCAAGGGAGAGGGAGAGGTGCCCTGAGATGGGTGAAGAGGTCACAAAAGTCTGAGGAAGACACTTTGGGAAAGATACGGGGTGTGATGAGGGCTTGCGGCGCTGCGATGATCTGGGGGGGTGGACATTATTGGGGTGTCTGGGCTGCCTGTGGGGCATTCAAATCTTGGCGTTGACATTCTTCTAGGTGCTGTAATCTTGAGCAAGTTGTTTCTCTGTGCCTCACTTTCCTCATCAATAAAATGGAAAGGATAACAATCAACCCCTCCCAGGGGTGTTGTAAGGACTGAATGAATAAATAAATGTAAAGTGCTTGGAACACCATCTGGCATTCAGCAATGGTTCAATAAATGTTACTCGGTGTTGTGCTATTGGCAGAGCCTGGGATAAATTTCAGGCACTGGAGGGGCACGCTTACGGTGAATGTGGGGCAGATGTATTTGTGCTGGGGTATTTGGGTGCAGTGGAGTGGAGATTATTACTACTGCAGTTACTTTCTTGGGTATTGTTGAAGAATGTTATTCACTGTGTGACCTCAGGCAAGTTGCTTCACCTTTCTGTGCTTCTATCTCCTCATTTGTAAAGTGGAAATGGTACTTGTACCTACCTCAGAGGCTGGCTGTAGGAGAGAACTGTCATTTACCTGTGAGAGGCTTCAAATACTGCCTCGTGTGTAGCAAGTGCTTCTTCTTGGCATATGACGGATATGAGAGCTTTAGTGAATTGTATTGGGAGATGGGGTATTTGGGGAAGACGTATGTATGAAGTGTGAGGATAGTGTTGGGGTCAAAGAGAGATTCCAGGGGCAGGAGGGAAATGTGGAGAAGGCAGAGGTTGATGAAATTGCTGTAAATGAGGAGTAAGGGTGATCTGAAGAGCAATACTGGCTGCTGCGGGGCCCTGGAGGTCTGGAAGGGATGTGGGGGTACAAGGGCATGAGGTATCAGAGGAGGATGCTAGGTGATGTGGTGGGGACAGAGGAGTGTGTGATCAGGAGCAGGCAACTGTGACCTCTCAACTAACTGCTGTTGGCCGTGACCACTCGCTCTTTGAGCCTTCTTGGCCTCTTTCCTCTCCTCTCCTCCCCTCCCTCATGCCTTTCAACCCCTTTCCTCTTTCTCTTCCAACATCCCCTCTACTCAGCTACAAAGGTGGCTGATCCCTGGGTTGACTATAAGACCAGGAAGACACAGCGGGTATGGTGTGGATGTGTTTACTGGACCGTCATGAGCTCTGAGCAAGGGCAGTTGTGGACTAGGTCTACGTGTACATGCGTACTGTTGGGTACACCAAGTACAAGGAGTGGGAGTGGGGACAGGGCTGGCATTCACGCACAGAACACTATCCTTACATTACAAATATATGGATTTGACAGTGGAAGTCGTGGGGGTCATAGGAGTATAGAGGAGTACTTGTGTACGTAGAAGGGATGTGTGGTACCCAAATCCAGTAGGAGCACATTAAGGATTATTGGCGTATGCTGGGATGTGTTTAGGGGGGCGTGTTATGGGAGTAGACTGAGATCGAAGTGAGGGGGAGTTATTATTGGAGCATACTGGGATGTGTGGTGGTGTTACTGAAATATACTGGAGTATTCATGGAGAGCTGTTTTGCCGAATCTGTGGGGGTAGGTAATTGGAGTGCGCGGGGGGAGCATGCTTGGCTATTATTGTAGTGTATTAGGGCCCGTGGACATTATGGGGGTATGCCAAGGGGGTCTGTACATGTGCTGGGCCGGGTTTCAGACATGACTGCAGGCAGCTCTGGGCCCAGCAAGGGTGTGGGTTCTGATGGCTCTAGAAGATGTATCTAGGGGACTCTGAGGGGACTGGGGTTGGAACCAGAGTGTCTGGTATTCCTGTTGTGCCTGGAATGGAATGGATGTGTACCCCGAGGTGCACAATGGTGATGTCAAGAGTTTGGGGCTGTTATCTGAATGAGCCCCGAGTGGATGAGATGTTAAGGGTGTTAAGGTACATGGAATAGCTTCGAGTTTAAGTAAACTTTACTGAGTGTGTGAGCATGACCTGAATTGCTGGTGGGCTTTGGTGGCCTTACAGGGAACCCTCCCCATATTCATGCATAGTATGCATTTTGCTAGACTCTACCCACTGTGTGAAGGAGATCCATGTGAGCTAGACCAGGGAATAGATGTTAGCACTGTCTGCTAGAATTTTCCACAGCAGTGGAGATGTTCTGTATCTGTGCTGTCCAGCGTGGTAGCCACTAGCTTCATGTGGCTGCTGGGCACTTTGAAACGTGGCTAGGGAGATGGTGGAACTGAATTTTTCAATTTAATCTTTAATTAATTTGCATATAAATAGCCACAGGCAGTTAGTGGCCACCATATTGGACAGTGCTGAATAAGCCATATTACAGTATGCTTGGGGACCTGGGGAGGTGTTCCTGTAGTGTATATATAGGCAAGGATTTGGGAGAGGTAGCATCCAAGCACATGTGTCCTCTGGACCAAAAGACCAAAGAAAGGGAGCAAATTCTATGGTGCACTTACTATGTCCTCAGCACTGTGCTGAATGCTGTATATACAGAATTCCCACAGTGACCCTGTCAGGTAGGGCTTGTTGTCATCCCCCATTCTAGGTAAGGAAACCGAGGACCCAAAGGTTAAAGTTGTGGGCTCAAGGTCACAGACAGGAAGTGGCTCACAGGGGACTCCAGCCAGGCTGTCTGATGACATGGCAACTTCCTTCTCAAGCACAGTGGGCTCGGGAACTGCTTGCTGAATGGATGGGTGGATGGATGCACGGACGGATGAATGAGGAAAGAGTGAGTGGGAGAGCGAGCACTCCAGGTTCTGAGGGGGAGGCCTGTCAGGGCTGCTCTAGGCAGACGCACGTGGAGTGGCTGAGGAAGCTCCTCGGAGGTGGGTTGAATGGTTCTGGAGCTTGGGCTCGGGTCACCAGGTGGCTGATGGGGCACTGGCTCTATGTCTCATGATCCCTTTTCCACCCGCCCCACCCCTGCCCTTCCCCCACTCTCCCCTGCCAGCGATTACATCATTAAGGAGAAGACAGTTCTGCTGCAGAAGAAGGACAGTGAGGGGTTTGGGTTCGTGCTCCGGGGGGCCAAGGGTGAGTGCCAGCCGGGGAGGGGATGGAAGAAGGGCCCTTGACCCAGGGGGATGGACAGGGGAAGGGACCCTAGCCCACCCACCAGCCCACCCCAGGGTGCTGGTCCCTCAACTACGGTGAGGCCTCTGTGACTTGGGTCTGAGCCCCATCCCCTGCTCGGCCTCTCCACCCCCTCCCCTCCGACCCCGCCGGCTCCTCCCCATCTGCAGCGCAGACCCCCATCGAGGAGTTCACCCCCACCCCAGCCTTCCCGGCGCTGCAGTATCTGGAGTCAGTGGACGAGGGTGGTGTGGCATGGCGAGCTGGACTGCGAATGGGAGACTTCCTCATCGAGGTGAGTCCTGGCCCCCAGCCCCAGGGGCCTCTCCAAAGACCCAGCCTCTGCTCCACCTTCCACAGACACCTCGCTCTCCCCTGGGACCCTGATGACCATTCCCAGATCCTTCGTGATCCATGCCAGGATGTGGTTGCCCAAATCCAGATTCTCCTTTGGCACCAAGCTTCCCAGCCCCCTTGGTCTACCCTCTCCAGCCAGGCTCTGCTTTCTTAGTGATTCCATCTGAAAGCCTTTCTGAAGCATCTCAGAAGAGGACAGAGCTGTCCCCCAGGGCGCGCGCGCACACACAAACACACACACACACACACACACACACACACACACACACACAATGTTGGAGGGCAAGGAGGGAAAGAGAGGCAAATAGGGTGGGCTTTGAAGCCAGGAGAGTTACAGGAACGGAGACCTTGTAAGAGGAGGGGCTGGTGGAGAGGGTCAGAGGGAGAGAAGGGTGACTGCCAGTGCCACAGACAGGGCAAGGCAGGAGAAGGCCACTTCTCTGGAGATTCTGAAATGGAAAGCATCTCTCTCCTCACTTCTTCGGTGTGGTTTGGGGGTGTCTGTGCTACAGGTGAATGGGCAGAATGTGGTGAAGGTTGGCCACCGACAGGTGGTGAACATGATCCGCCAAGGGGGCAACACCCTGATGGTCAAGGTGGTGATGGTCACAAGGCACCCGGACATGGATGAGGCTGTACATAAGAAAGGTGCATCTCTCTCCACTTGTGTGGCCAGGCCTGGGCCCCCTACTGCTACTAGACTAAGTCCCTCAGGATCCGTAATGGCCAAATGGCTCCTGCCACCAGCAGCAGCCTCCCCTTCCCCAACGCTGCTTGTTCACGACCCTCTGGGGAGGATCTTAGGCGGGGAGGGCTCAGCGCGCCGCCGGTAGCGGCTCTTTGAGCTCTCAGAGCACGGTAGTGGGCGGGGCCAGGTCCTGGGGTTTCTCTCCTGGTACTGATGCCAGACCCCACTGTCATTTTTTTTCAGCACCCCAGCAGGCTAAGAGGCTCCCACCCCCAACCATCTCCCTGCGTTCCAAGTCTATGACCTCAGAGCTGGAGGAGATGGGTGAGCTTGTGGGGCTGCAGGAGCCCAGGTGCTGGGGAGGGAGAGGGGCAGAGGCGGGCTGGACCATCCCTTGAGTTTGTTAGTGATGTTAGTGACCAGGGGTCCTCGTTCTCATCCTGTCCCCAGTCCATGGGTCAGACTCTCTCTCTGGCCTGCGTGTGTGTCGCTGGGAAAGGGCATCTGAGAGTGGATTTCCCCTTGTCCTCTTATGTCTGTTTCTCTGTCTCAGGATCTCTCTCTGGGTCTCTCTGCGGGTCCCTGTTTCCTTTCTGGCTCCTCTCCATCTGTCCCACCTCACCCCATTCTCCATCTCTCCCTCCACCAGCTCTCCCCACCCCCACTAACAGACAGGAAGGCGAGCCCCTCCCTCCAGACAAGGCCGACTGGACCTGGGGTGTCCCGTTTCCCCTGACTGGGGTGGATCAGGCAGCTGACCGCCCCACCCCGGGGCCCTGAGGGAGGCGGGCGTTCCAGAAAGGGGGCCCCTCGCCTCCCCCTGAAGTCCTAACTCTTGGCTCCTCTACTGCCTCTCCCCCGGGCTAGTCTCCCCCTGGAAGAAGAAGAGTGGTGAGTGGGCACAGGACTGGCGGGAGGGCCCCCGTCCCGATCCCGCCGGCGGACTCGCCCTTCCCCGATCCCGGCCCCTCACTGCCCCACACGCGCTTGCGCACGCCTGCTAGCCGTACCCGCTGGCCACGCCCGCTGGCCGAGCCCGCTCCGCCCGCCCCCGGGGGCGCCCTGGGCTTCATCTGCATCCTTTGCCCACAGAGTACGAGCAGCAGCCTGCGCCGGTGCCCAGCATGGAGAAAAA